TACATGTCCTATGTTTGTTCGTTGAATTAAATGATGCTGATTCAAGGATTTGGTTATAATGTATCGACTCGAATAATTGCATGCATCTGTTATCTCTTTGTCGTGTGAAAACAATAAATTTTTGAATTTGTGTTGATCAATATTTTCATCTTTATTTGATGTGGGATATAACCCTTAACGTACCCCCACAAGATGGTTTGGTGGGTTGTTTGAACAAACCAATTTTGAAAATCTGCGTGCTTATTTTTTTGAATCTTCATCGGATCAAATTGTTTATTTGAGATTAACGAGCTCTAATACCATATTAAAATTTGAGATTTCATCTTAAAATATCAATCTTATTAAGAGAAGTAGTCAAAACCCTTATATGTTCGTCATTATTTGATATGAGATTTATACCTTGACAAATTGTATAGTTCCTACTCAGCTTTTTAACTTCTAGAGAACTACTGACAAAGGCAATGAAACTGGAGTTTTTAACCATAGATCATCAGTTTCTTCTGTCATATACAATGAAGGCATGAACTAGATGGTTAAAAACACCATTAGTCACTGAACTGATAGTCTAGTATTATTTTGGTCACCAATTTCAATCCCAATCACCATAATCCTTTACCTGCGAATGGATTTCCCGGAGAAAAGTTATCGTTAGAACATCTTGGACAGTTACAAATCCAGGTCGTAGGTTTCTTGGTTGCAAAAATTACGTCGTAAGCATTCACCATTCCAAAGAACCTTATCTTTGTGAAGGCCGTGTAAAATGAGTGAATCAAAGCTTCAATATTTTTCAAGACACTATCAGCTTCCTAATCCTTCTTGTTATTTTTCCCTGGAGGATCCATGAATCCAAGATCGCGAGATTTTATACTTCAAAAGAACCATAAAACTATAATTACAGTTTAGTCGCTGCATCAGATTGTCGAGGAGAGAATCGGTGGATACCACTGTTTGTAACTCTGAATTCGTTTGAAGTTCAACAAATGTCTCTAACTTCTGGCTCAATAAGATGAGTGGCAGTCATTATTTTGAAGTAGATGTACAATTTCATCTACTTCATAGACAGAACAGTAGTAAGACCAACACACTGCTTGTATTATTTTGAATAATCATGCTACAAGTTTCACATCATGTTTGACATCACAAGTTGTCGGATTTTTTTATATTAATTTTAATAACACTTTTTTCAATCAATGACCAGATTTTCCACACATAGGGGGGTGTCAACCTTGATGTCAACAAGGAATGTATAAGAAGCATAATTTTATTTTGAAAGCCGATCTCCAGATCATTTCAAAAAATACAGAAGGTCAACGCTTAAAATGTCGAATCGAGGTTAAACCGGTTGTCAACACAAATAAATAGTTACATTTATACACAAGAAACCACTTATTTAATGTGAAAATTGCAGCAGCGGTCCCTAACATTTCACATTTTTTTGCAGATTTTACCTTAACCTTCAATTTGTATCAAAAAAGGTCCCGAACTTTTGATAAATTAGTAGTAGAGGTCCAAATTGATGGTTTTGACCATTAGTTGATCAATAAAATTGATTTTGATCAAATCTAAAATGGACAACATAGTAAATTCATAATTTTTTCACATAAAACAATTAAAAATATATATAATAAAAGGATTTGTTCATCTCCCCCACCCCCACTAAAACTGAATCAGAACCCAACCACCATCTCCTACTTCTTCCACAGCCACAACCCGACGCAGCCACTCTCCCCCGCCACAGCCTTCCCCACCAATTTACACATCCTCCATCATCCCAAAATAAAACCAATTGCTCTTCCATAGCCACAAACCGCCGCTACCACTCTCCGCCTCTGCCTTCCCGACCAATCCCCACCTCCACTCCCATCCCAAAACAAAACAAATTGCAACCTATCATACCAAGAGCTCGATTATCAACCATTTTAATCACCCAATTTTAATCATTATATCAAACACCTCATAGGCATCCTGCGATCTTCCATTTTTACAGAATGAATTGTTCAATGTAGTGAATGTAGCAACTAGCAACATTGGGTTGGAACCAATTCTTCTTGCAGTAACTAGTTGCCAAAATTAAGTATGTGCAATTATCATGGGCTAAAC